CCTCCCTTCTCGGCTCCCTTCTGCATCCTCCTCTCTCCCTTCCACGTCCTCCCCCGCTCCCCTCAGGCAGTGTGCCCCTCCGCCTGTGGGAACCCAATGTAGCTCACTACGACCCCTCCTTCCCCCTACAAATGATCAAGTGCAGTATCTGTTCCGATCGGTTTCATATATCCCCCCTCCCCCCTCCCCCCTCCCCCCTCCTCCCCACACACACACAAAAAAAACGATCAAAGTGCAATATATGTTCCAATCGGTTTCATAAATCCCAATTTAACTAACTACGACCCTTCCCCCACCAACGATCAAGTGCACCATCTGTTCCGATCGGTTTCATATCTGATCCGTGGTCCATTGGGAACCTTTTAGAGAGAGAGATTGCCACGCTGTGCATTATGTGATTCTGACACGTCATTCTCGGTTTTGTCTTCAGCTTCAGCCTTCCAGGAAATGCTTTAAGATGCACGCCCAGCCCGGCATTACGGTGCACATGACAACACTACTTCCGACAACTGTCCCCCGTGGAAAGCAACTGCCAAGCAGATTAGATGCTGATTACTTCATTGATACAATACGAGACCTGCTTAGCATCACTGGCACTCTTACAATAGAAGGCAACTTTCGACAGCTCCCCCCAGCCAATCATCAATCATACTATCTGGGCCCACCAAACTAAGATTCACACACATGCATACGCTTGCATACAAACAGAGTCAAATCTCAACAAGTAGACACATGGCATACATAAAAGATCAGTTCCTGCACAAAACACGTGCGGTACGAAAAAACAAAAAAAAATGGTTTGGGCCCTTGGGGGTATTCCCACCTGTTTTCTTGCAGGTGGATTTCTGTGTCTGCTTTGAGGTTCTGTTTCTTATTATGAAACAGAGAGACTGTCCTCCCAAGGCATTGAAGTTATTGAGCTGAAACCAGTCGTTTCCCTATCCGCTGGGTATCTTTGGGCGCCAGTCAACCACTCTGTCATGGTAGATATATTTCTCACCTTTCGGTGGGATCGCCTTCTCTGTCTCATAGACTCATGCAAACTCGTATGTTATTTTCGCATTTTTGCTCTGATGTCTTGGCAGCTTCATCAATTCTCTGAAACCAAACCTGTGTTGCTTGTGTAGAAGTTAGTAGAACATAAATCTTGGGTTTATGAAAACGTGCGAAGAGCTCAATTCCAAAAAGAAGTGTCCTTGACATGATATGCGACCTGTTTGACAACTTTTAATACTATATCTAGGCTACCAGGCGGGCCGCCCGGGTCCCTGGTGGCCAGCCCGTGCAAGGACCAGGGAAGGTCCCAAAAAAAAAAAAAAAAAAAAAAAAAAAAAAAACTGAAAAAAGCTATGTTATGCAGAAAAATCATCAAAAATGAACTGAACAACTTTTGCCTCAGGGTAACATCGAAATTCTTCACCAAATTTAGAATTAAAAAATATATATGTATAATCAGCGTTCGGGACGGGCCGACGTATGGGACTCCTTGGGGATGCGTTCGGCCGTTTGTGCCAAATGCAGACCCAAAAAAAAAAATAAAAAAAAATAAAAAAAATCTGAAAAAAGGATTATGTTATGAAGAAAAATAAATTAAACAAGATTCGCTCGAGCATTACACCCAAATTCCTTACCAAATTTGAAATAAAAATAAAATATGGAGAACAAATACTAATAATAAAAATAACAACAAATAAAAAGAGAACATGCACAGATTTACGTGCGCGAGCACGTTTTCGGCACCGCCATCCTTGGCGATTTTTCTTTTTTTTTTGGCATAGCTAAATGCCCTGAAAATTTACAGATGTGTACTTCACATAATACAAAACCCACAAAAAAGTTTCAAAAAATAATAAAATTGTCTAGACCCCGAACTAAAGTGAAAACAATAAGTGGCGATTTTTAATTCTTATTTGGCTTAGCCAAATGGCATCAAAATTAATAGGCATGTACCTCACGTCATAGAGAACTCACAAAGGAAAAATCAGAAAAACAAAATTATGTTTAGGCCCCGAAATATTTTTTGGCGGGGGCCGAACGCCATCGGGTTCGGACCCCGTACAGGACCCCGAACGCCCATACGTACGGAGGTCGGCATTGGGACTTCCGTATGTACGGGCTGGTGACCCTGTACATATATATATATATATATATATATATATATATATACATCATCACAAATAGTGAGCCGAACAAGTATCAAGCGTGAAAACGTCGGCAAAAACCCAGTGTCAGCCGGTACCAAACCTGCCAAACGTTGCCGGTTCAAATCCAGTAGCCTCAAAAAACAAAGACACAATCAAACAAAGCCAACACTGGGATAAAGCAGAGGTTGTCGGTTCGAAGCAGACTAACACTCACCCTCACTCACCCACACCATATATGTTTGTCCTTGCGATTACGTATTGTGCTGACATGATTTCCCTTTGTCAACGGACAGAAAAAAAAGAAAAAAAAACACATAAAAAAACAAGTGAACAAAAGATACGAGAATCGTGATATATATATATATATATATATATATATATATATATATATAGCATCATCTTCGGGTTCGGCAAGCGAACGCGAACGTTCGATAAAACCCTCCAAATGCAAGACAAAACATGAAAAAAAAAATACACGATTTCTAATCTGAAAAAAATTCAAAACACAATTATGAATGAAAAATAATAATACAAAGGAACTTCAGCCTGACAGGCATGCTCAAGTTCGTAATCGAAGTCCACCAAAAATAGAAAACCTAATGTCCCGATCGTGCCACAATTGTTGATATTGAGAGAGATCTAAATACAGAGAGAGAGAAAGTGAGAGAGAGAGAGAGAGAGAGAGAGAGAGAGAGAGAGAGAGAGAGATGTCGTTCCGGATCTTCGACAAATGGACGACTAACGAAAAAAAATAAATATATACATAAAACTACAAATAAAAATAAAAATAAAAAACTTGAAAGAAGTAAGAAAGGAAAGATTCAATTGTTCATCAGATGTTATATATGTATATAAGAGATAATAAGCGAAAAAAAAGGGAAACAAGGAAGGACAACTCTGCAGCGGAAGCCTATACTTACAAGGTCGGCGACGTGGATGACAGGTTGGGCAACAAGAAGAAGAAGAAGATACGTATCGATGAAGATGTGACGATGACGACGACGACGACGAAGAAGAAGAAGAAGAAGAAGGAGTAGAAGAAGAAGAAGTAATGAAGAAGAAGGAGAAGCGACGAAGAAGTAGAAGAATAAGCGACTATGAAGAATAAAAAGCGACTATGAATAAAAGAATAAACAACGAAGGAGAAGCGGCAAAGAAAAAGATGAAGGAGAAGCGATTATGAATAAAAAGAAGAAGGAGAAGTGGCGAAGAATAAAAAGAAGAAGATGAAGTGAGCAGAAGTAGAATAAGCGACTATGAAGACGAAGAAGAAGCGAAGAAGACGAAGCGAAAAATATGAAGCAAA